TAAATTAACCTAAAGCAATAAATGACACCCTAACGAAAGATTGAATGAAACCCTAAATGAAATCTTAAAGAAACCCCAAGCGACACCCTAAAAAACTCTGATTGAGCCCCTAAATGGAACCCAAACTTAAATCCTGAAGAACCCGTAAACGAAACCCTAAAATGAGACACTAAAGAAACCGTAAATAAAACGCCAAAGAAACCCTCAAGAGACCTTAAAACCCTAAAGAAAACCTAAATGAAACCCTAAATGAAACCCTAAAGAAACCCTGAATGAAACCTTAAATGAGACCCTCAAGAAACCTTAAGAAACCCACATGAACGTTTGGAAACCTTGACAAGATTTCCTGAAAAGAAACCCTACACAAAACCCTAAATTAAACCCTAAATGACTCCCTAAAGTATCCCTAAATCAAACCCTACATGAAACCCTACAGAAACCCTGAATGAAACCCCAAAGACCCTAGGTGAAACCTAAAGAAACCCTAAAGAATTCCTGATAAGAACTCCTGACAAGAAACCCCTACATGAAACGCTAAATGAACCCTAAAGAAACCATAAATTAACCTAAAGCAATAAATGAAACCCTAACGAAAGATTGAATGAAACCCTAAATGAAATCTGAAAGAAAACCCAAGCGACACCCTAAAAAACTCTGATTGAAAGCCTAAATGGAACCCAAACTTAAATCCTGAAGAACCCGTAAACGAAACTCTAAAATGAGACACTAAAGAAACCGTAAATGAAACCCCAAAGAAACCCTAAATAACACCCTAAAGAAACATAAATGAAACCCTGAATGAAACCCTAAATGGAACCCTAAAGAAACCCTGAATGAAACCCTTAATGAAGCCCAAAGAAACCCTGAATGAAACCCTAAATGAAACGTTAAAGAAGCCCTAAAGAAACCCACATGAACGATTGAGAATCTTGATAAGAATTCCTGATAAGAAACCCGTCACAAAACCCTAAATGAAACCCTAAAGAATCCCTAAATCAAACCCTACATGAAACCCGACAGAAACCCCAAAGAAACCCCAAATGAAACCCTAGAGATGTAAATCTTAAAGAAACGCGAAACGCTAAAGAATCCCAGAGAATCCCTAAATGAAACCCTAATTCTTTTGCTTTATTTTCTCCTGTTTGTATCCTAAACAAAACCTAAACGACCCTAGGTGAAACCTAAAGAAACCCTAAAGAAGTCCTCAAAAGAACTCCTGATAAGAAACCCCTGCATGAAACACTAGATGAACCCTAAAGAAGCCATAAATTATCCTAAAGAAACCACAAATGAAACCCTAACGAAACTTTGAATGAAACCCTAAAAGGCATCCTAAAGAAATTCCAAGCGACACACTAAAAAACTCTGATTGAAACCCTAAATGGAACCCAAACTTAAATCCTGAAGAACCCGTAAACGAAACCCTAAATGAGACACTAAAGAAACTTTGAATGAAACCCCAAAGAAACCCTAAATAACACCCTAAAGAAACCCTAAAGAAGCTCTGAATGAAACCCTTAATGAACCCAAAGAAACCCTGAATGAAACCCTAAATGAAACGTTAAAGAAGCCCTAAAGAAACACACATGAACGATTGAGAATCTTGATAAGAATTTCTGGTAAGAGACCCGTCATAAAACCCTGAATGAAACCCTAAAGAGTCCCTAAAGAACCCCTAAATCAAACCTTACATGAAACCCTACCAACACCCTGAAGACACCCGAAATGAAAGTCTAAAGAGATGTAAATCTTAAAGAAACGGGAAACCCTAAAGAATCCCTACATGAAACCCTAATTATTTTGTTTTATTCTCTCTTGTTTGTGACCTACATGAAACCTTAAAGGCCCTAGGTGAAATCCAAAGAAACCCTACAGAATTTCCTGCTAAGAACCCCCTACATGAAACACTAAATGAACCCTAAAGAAACCATAAATTGACCTAAACAAACCATAAATGAAAGCCTAACGAAACTTTGAATGAAACACTAAATGAAATCTTAATGAAACCCCAAGCGACACCCTAAAAAACTCTGAATGAAACCCGAAATGGAACCCAAACTGAAACCCTGAAGCCTGAAGAAAACGAAACCCTAGATGAAACACTAAAGAACCCCTAAATGAAACCCTAAAGAAACCCTAAAGAAACCTTAAATGAAACCCTAAAGAAACCCTAAATGAAACCCGAAGAAGCCCTAAAGAAACCCACATGAACGTTTGACCATCCGGATAAGAATTCCATGAGAAGAAACCCTAGAGTAAAAAAAACGAAATTAAACCCTGAATGACACCCTAAAGAAGCCCTAAATCAAACTTACATGAAACACTACAGAAACCCTGAATGAAACCCTAAAGAATCACTAAATGACAACCTGATTCTTTTGTGCATCCCCAATGAAACCCTAAAGACCCTAGGTGCAAGCCAAAGAAACCTTAAAGCCTTAAAAAATCCTGATAAGAAGCCCCTACATGAAACTGAAACACTATATAAAACCCTAAATGAAACCCTAAATGGAACCCTAAAGAAACCCTGAATGAAACCTTAAATGAGACCCTAAAGAAACCTTAAGAAACCCAAATGAACGTTTGAAAACCTTGACAAAATTTCCTGAAAAGAAACCCTACACAAAACCCCAAAATGCAACCCTAAATGAAACCCTAAAGAATCCCTAAATCAAACCCTACATGAAACCCTACAGAAACCCTGAATGAAACCCCAAAGAAATGCAAATCCTAAAGCATCCCTAAATGAAATCCTAAGGAACCCCTAAATGAAATCCTGAAGAAGCCCCAGATGAAACCCTAATTCGTTTTCTTTATTATCTCCTGTTTGTATCCTAAATGAAACCTTGAAAGACCCTAGGTAAAACCTAAAGAAACCCTAAAGAATTCCTGATAAGAACTCCTGACAAGAAACCACTACATGAAACACTAGATGAACCCTAAAGAAGCCATAAATTAACCTAAAGCAATAAATGAAGCCCTAACGAAAGATTGAAGGAAATGAAACCCTAAATGAAATCTTAAAGAAACCCCAAGCGACACCCTAAAAAACTCTGATGGAGCCCCTTAAATGGAACCCAAACTTAAATCCTGAAGAACCCGTAAACGAAACCCTAAAATGAGACACTAAAGAAACCGTAAATAAAACGCCAAAGAAACCCTCAAGAGACCTTAAAACCCTAAATGAAACCCTAAATGAAACCCTAAATGAAACCCTAAAGAAACCCTGAATGAAACCTTAAATGAGACCCTCAAGAAACCTTAAGAAACCCACATGAACGTTTGGAAACCTTGACAAGATTTCCTGAAAAGAAACCCTACACAAAACCCTAAATTAAACCCTAAATGAATCCCTAAAGAATCCCTAAATCAAACCCTACATGAAACCCTACAGAAACCCTGAATGAAACCCCAAAGACCCTAGGTGAAACCTAAAGAAACCCTAAAGAATTCCTGATAAGAACTCCGGACAAGAAACCCCTACATGAAACGCTAAATGAACCCTAAAGAAACCATAAATTAACCTAAAGCAATAAATGAAACCCTAACGAAAGATTGAATGAAACCCTAAATGAAATCTGAAAGAAAACCCAAGCGACACCCTAAAAAACTCTGATTGAAAGCCTAAATGGAACCCAAACTTAAATCCTGAAGAACCCGTAAACGAAACCCTAAAATGAGACACTAAAGAAACCGTAAATGAAACCCCAAAGAAACCCTAAATAACACCCTAAAGAAACATAAATGAAACCCTGAATGAAACCCTAAATGGAACCCTAAAGAAACCCTGAATGAAACCCTTAATGAAGCCCAAAGAAACCCTGAATGAAACCCTAAATGAAACGTTAAAGAAGCCCTAAAGAAACCCACATGAACGATTGAGAATCTTGATAAGAATTCCTGATAAGAAACCCGTCACAAAACCCTAAATGAAACCCTAAAGAATCCCTAAATCAAACCCTACATGAAACCCACATGAACGTTTGAAAACCTTGACAAGATTTCCTGATAAGAAACTCTTTATAAAGCCCTACATAAAACCCTAAATGAAACCCTAAAGAATACCAAAATCAAACCCTACATGAAACCCGACAGAAACCCCAAATGAAACCCTAAAGAAATGTAAATCTTAAAGAAAAAACAAGGTGGGGGGTCAAAGAAACAAGGTGGGGGGTCAAAAAAATAAGGTGGGGGGTCAAAAAAACAAGGTGGGGGGTCAAAAAAACAAGGGGGGGGTCAAAAAAACAAGGTGGGGGGTCAAAAAAACAAGGTGCCCGCCGACATGGCCGACATGGCCTTTTTTTGTCCAAAGTATGTACCTTTTTGTCCAAAAATCTGCGGTTTTTCTATTATATGTAAAAGTAGCAAATATGTAAAAAACAAATCTGAATCAACCAAATAACATACCAAGACCTAAAAATAACCAAATTTGTGCATAAAGTGGTACCCCATGTTTGATCCCATAGCCAGATTCCATCCAGACCCAAGAGAGGAACCCCTTCATGTAGATGATTCTGAGACGATTGTTTTGTGGACTGAGGCTATGTGAGGCTGGGTTTTATATTTAGAAGATGAGTCAAGATTGTTGCCCTTGAAGTCTTTGATGTTCAGGGTTTCAGGGTAAATTCAATCACAATTCAATCATATTCACCCCATCAGTGCTTTCAACCTTGGGTGCGATATCAAAAACCGCATAGCTTCAGCCGCAGTCACCCCATCCTCCTATCTCCACATCGGGCCTCACTTGGGGGGCTCAAGTGGCAATGTTTCATTCACTCAGGCCCCAACTCTGGGTCCCCCAGCCACAAGGCATTTGAAATCTCCGAGATGAAGCTGGTTGGATTTATGGGGCTTCATGACAATTACATACAGTTACTCATGAACCTGAGCGGCTACTGTACACTATATACATTGCTGTTTGATATGCTTTCGTCACTCAAAACATCGGATCCTTCTCCGTAGGACTCATGACTCGATGACTTCACCAAATGGTGTGCCAGGTATTTCTTTTGGTTCGTCGTTTTGAGCGCCAAATTTTTGATCGCAGCACCTCGGTTCGCAAGGTATTCAAAACTGGAGAAGTGGATAGCTGGATACCTCTTAAGACTATTGATCTAATTTAGAATCCAGTCCAGATGGGTTTGATTTAACAATTAGGGGGAAAGGACTAAATCCACTGGTGGGCCATCATTTTCTCTTTTTTTTTGAAATTGCCATTTCGATCTGTGTCCCAGGAGGTATCTTGGGAACTTCCCCATGTTCAGACACACCCGGAGAATGATCTTGAACATTCTGATTGGTGATCGAAACTAGTGAAACACAACCACACACACACTCATATATATATATATATGTCTTATGATGCTTTGCAGACTGACAACGCTGACCATCCTAACGGTCAAACCTTGATTTTGTGTCCTAGTTTTTCATGAACAAACAGTGGGGTAACCACCTCAGCTGCCGTGGTGAGTCTCAAAGGTGGTGCTCTTCGCCGCGGTGTTTGATCTGATCTTGGACTTGCAGCTGGAACCCCTGGGGACTCTAGGAGAAAAGAGGAGGATGGGGAAGGGTATTTCTTGGGGGGTAGATGTCTATTTATACCATATTTATACAATATTTTATGCATTTTTTTAGGATGAAATGGGGTGATCTCCCTCTGGGGAGGGCATTAAATCCATGGATCTTGACACCCTCTGATCCTCTCAGGAGAGCCACTTCACAAGACGTCGAGTCCCTTGGTGTTGGGAGCTGTTGGGAACAAGCAGAGTTTTCCAAGCACATGACACACATGATCGTAATTATTCGGTGATGTTTAACGAGATTTAATGATGTTTCTCTTTTTTTTGGATTTCAGCTTTCAATGAATTGGTTTAAGCAGAAATTTGGAGAAATTTGCCGAGAACCCCAATGTTTTTTTGCCATCGGAGATTGGTGCAGAGAGGGTAAACGCAGTCCGTTGGCTTGTATTGGATGCCGAACTGGTCGCTGCATGATGGAAAGTCCCTATGAGCCGACAATAACCTGTGCAGGATTTCTGCGTCTATGAGTCATAGAGTCTATGCCCATATGCTAGGTTGATTTTTGTGTATCATAAAACATGCAGCAGATAATTTCAAATAGTGACGATGTATAATACATTGTCTATATTAAAATGACTCTAGAAGTAAGAAACCATAGACCATGGCCACTGATGAATCCACATGTTTATTGAGCATTCATTCTACATCATTCTACATTTCGTTGACCCTCTGATTTGGATTTTCGCTTCGGAAAATCCAATATTTTTTGATAGGTAAATCATGGTAAATCCATGGTAAATCCTTATTTTTATCTACAAAAAGGGGGCCATTTTATCTTCGCTGCTTCGAGGATCGCGTGGTACAGCACCGTGTGGTCACGAGACCTCTTGATTTGGTCCCGTGGCCGTAGGCGGTGGCCGGGTGGAGGTGGAGCCATGTGTTTTCGGTCGCCCATGAAAAAACCGAGGTTTTTTGGTGGTTTGGAACATTGGTTTACTATGGGATTAGTATGGGATAATGTTGGGATAATGATGGTTAATGATGGTTTTTAATCACTGCTTGGTGGTGACTGGAACATGGCTGGATTATGACTGTCCAGAAGCAGTTGGGAATGGAATAATCATCCCAACTGACGAACTCACTCCATCATTTTTCAGAGGGGTAGGTCAACCAACAACCAGGTTATATGAGCTATGACCCGTATGTTTAACGAGTTTATTTTCTTTAAGTTGGCAAGTTTATGTGCTTTGCAGCTGAACATTTCCTGGATGTTTTGTTGGCCACCAGACTTGGCCGGCAACTTGCTTGTCACAGAGTACTTCTACGTACTTCTACCGCGAGGCTTGCTGCTATCATTCCTATGATATCCTATGGTCATATAAATGATCAAGCATGGTCAAACGATATATAATATAATATATATATATGTTATATGTCAAAGGGAACTAAACGCTAGGACACTTATCATGTACATATGTGATTGTGCATTGAAACGCCGTACTGGCTCAAGTCCCTGCGCGAGGAAAAGTCCGAGCTCCGCTTGCAATGCCGTAACGCTGTCCGAAGCTACCAGCATAACGGGTATCACAGCTCAATAACTACATCCAGAACAAGGATCAATTTGTTCACAGGTTATCAGCCGTAGGGCTCACTTCTCCCGCCGGGAGAGTGGTGCCTGCGTGCTGGTAGCCGGGCCGTCTGAGCAATTGATTGAGGACGCAAAGGACCAATCAGCTCATCATCGCAAAGATGCAAGGCGGCAGCGGAGATTCGCGCACCACGCAGTTTACCTTCAATGAGAACGCTGCTATGCCGGTCGAGGAGGTCAATCAATCTTCCCCTGGCGACACGGCAGACAGTGGCGGGATACGCTCTACCCGAACTACACAGTCCGGATGGCAAGTCACATCAAACAGACGAAGAATATCCACCCAAAGTACACCTAGATCTTCTCGAAACAGTGCTCGGAGTGATGTTGTCCGCCAAGGGCATCGACCATCTCGAGGACGTACTACTCCAAGGGACAGATCCACCAGGGCCGTGACCGACCGAATTGGTGAGAGGACCGGGGATAGTCGTGTTAAGAGGAGATCAACGGATACTTCTGTGGCTAGTGAACCTATTGCCATGATAGAGGAACTACGGGCACAATGTCAATCCCTACGTAATCAGCTGAACAACATGGAAGCATACGCTGCATCCAGGGATCAACTGATTCATGACATCGAGATCAGATTCACTGAGTATCTTCGGGAACACAACCAGAATGTATTTGATGAGGTCAATGCACTCAACAATAGATTGTCATGTTCCGCAAATGAGGTTGCAGAATATCAAGCAGAACTAATGGTAGCATCTCAGGAAGACGAAGGTGCAACAATACGCATCCAAGACCTTGAACGCCGAGGTGCCCTAATGGAACATGGTGCACGACGGATCCATCAACGTGGTATGGAGATCCAGGAGGAGTACAAGGATGAAGTACATCACCTTCAAGGACTACTGGGTAATACGGAGGCAAGACTACAACAACTTCATCAAACCAATGTCTTAACCACCGATATTGCCAATCGACTATACAATGAAGGTCAAGAAATGCAAAATGATTTCCAGAACTCAATCATGGAATATCGTAATCGATCTGAAATGGCATCCTTCTCTAGTAATCAACTTGAAGTGATTAGCCAGCAACAATCAATTGCAGTTCATGAATTATCTGAGCGAAATCAGCTATTGAGTGAAGCTTTGGTTCAGTCTCGTAAACAGGCCGAGCTGTATGAGAGCAGTATTGATGAGATCACTAGAGAATCTAGGAAGAAGGTGTTCGAGGCAAATCAGGCCAAATTGGAAAGTGATCTGAAGCATCGAAACACTGAACATGATACCGTCAGAAGAATTGCATCATACAGGAACCAAGAGGCCGAAGCAATATCTCACCTGAGGCTTGAATCACAGGCTAGTGCAAACTCGATCGCAAGGGCAGAGCACTATGAGGAGCTCTATGCCAACGAGCAGAAGATGAACTGCGAATTGAAGGATGAGATCAAGTTGCAGAACACGAAGTTACGAAGATCGTTGACTCAGGGTTCTACGACCGACGGTCGTGGCCCCGAAGAGATGCTTGTTGAAGATCTACGTAATCAAGCTAAGATCGCTCAAATCAGGGTTCAGGATCTAGATCATGAAGTTCATGAATGCTTACAAGAGAACTTGTTGTTAAAAGAAAGGTTGGCTGAAGTTGCGGATGTAGGGGCGTCGTCCCTCACCAATGCTGAGGTCCGAACTCTAAGATCTGAACTAGAGAGTGAGCGAAAATTGAAATTGGCGAGTGGTGTTCAACAATATGAGAGATCATGCATGTTCATGGGGGAAATCCAGGATAGGGATGAAAAGATTGGCATCAAGAATTCTGAGATTGTTGACATGAAACGTCACTTAGATGAACTGAGAAAAAGTCTCAAGGATTCTGAAACATCTATGGCCAGGATCAGTCCTGACACACTTCCCTATTCGGCAGGTATTCCCAACTCCGATCTCGCATCCAGACTGGTCATCGACAAACTGGAGAATGACGTGAGTGAGGCTAACTGTGAAAACGCTATTCTGAAATCTTGGGTTTCGCAGATCGACAAGGAGTTGACTTATGAGACAAATGTGGCTCATTCCTATCGTGGGCATGCTGTACCTCCTCAACAACAACAGCATTCTCAATCAAGCAAAAGAATCGCTGATCTGCTGAAAGAGGTTGACAACAAGATCGCTGGCGGAACTGAGAGGGACCATTACAAGCCACCGAGTGGATGGGGCGGTCCGCCTGACCCTGATGGACCTCCGGACCCTTTCGGGCCTAACGGTCCAGGACCACCTCCTGAACCTCCTGGTTTGCCTTCAGTTCGAGGATCACAACGCGATTCAGCAGATGATGTCTCCACAGCGGCTTACACTGCGGAAGAAGTACCGAGAATGTCAAGACGAGAGGCTGACAAAGTCTATGTTAGCCCATGGCCAAAGCAACAGAATCTTGGGGTTTGGCAATCAGATCTCATCAAGAGTGTTGTTCTTTCGGCAAATGACGGGGATAAAGCCGCATGGGAAGCATGGCTACAGCCGGCTATTCGACCAAATCCTGACATCGAGCTGTTGAATGACAGTGGGGGGCAACGGTATCAGTCCATCGACGCCAAGTTGTCAATTGCATTGTCAAACGTGATAGCCCAAGCCGGTGATGTTGCTCGTCATGTAGCGATCAAATTGAGATTGAGAACACAAAGTCATAGCCGAAGAGGAACCTATGTCATGGGACGGGAAATCTTGGCTATGATTCTGGAGCACTTCAGAACCCCAGGTCAACGAGAAACATCCTTCACCATGGAACACATCGTATCGATGAAGTATCTCGGTGACTCGAACCTAGAAGTGTTCTACGAGAAATGGATGGAGATGGTATCAAACATGATGCCGGATGACGTACCTCCTGATGATTGGCTTCGTGACGCTCTATACAAGAAGATTCGAAATTCGAATCTTATGATGTTCGACATCAAGCAGTACGAGTCATGGATGGAAGGAGACCAAAGACGAAATTATCGCTACCTGTTGGATGTCATCGAAAGGCACATCTCCAGAATTAGAGAGGACAAGCATGTGGCAGCCAGAGAGAAGTATGCGAGAGACTTTGCAGGCGGCGGCAAACCTTCGGCTCCTGCTCCGAACCCAACTGCCGCTGCACCGGATGCAAATCCAAAAGCGAAGCCTAAAGCTACTCCCAAGGAGAAGGCAGCGCCCAAGGCGAAGGCCAAGGCCGATGCAGCTCCAGTTCTACCATCACCTCAGCCTAAACAGCATGCGAAAGGAAAAGGAAAAGGTCAAGGGAAAGGGAAGGATCGAGCAAACAGCCGAAGTACCAGCCCCAGATCCAAGAAGAAGATCCCATGCCATTTCCATTTCATCAAGAAAGCATGCAGAAAAGGCAAGGATTGTGAATACAGTCACGACCAAAAGGTATTTGATGCGAACAAGAATGCAAAAGGCAACGGTCGGAAGCCAGGAACTCCAAGAAGTCAATCTCCGGCAAACAAGACCAAGAAGATTGATGAACCATGCTGGCATTGGGCTAAGGGCAAGTGTCGGTATGGAGACAAATGCAACAAACGCCACGATCCTCATCTATTCAACACTGCTCCAAACACTGAAGCACCAAGCTCAAAGGCTACTCCTGCACTTATCCATGATTGGAGTGATGATGAAGGGACGTTCCATAAGGTTGCATCGAACGTGATCAAGAAGAAGATCAGATTTGATGAGTCTAAAACTCAAGTTCAAACCTACGTGAAGAAGGACTTCGTGAAGTGCAGCCGGAAATCCCAAACCATCCCCAAAGGTCATGGTAAAGTTGGCAAGCCCACTGACCAGGTAAGGAAAGACGAGCAGTGGTCTTATTCATGCAGGTTAGCTTCGAGCCGAGGGAAAGCAATGGCTATTCTGATCGATGAGAAGGGTGAACACAGTGACATTGATGAAGTCCTGGTCATAGTCGGCCCTAGCATGGACATCCTGATCAGACTCGACGTCGAGGACGGTGAGGTGTCCAGGGAAGTTTTTGTGGAAAACTATGTTCAGCATATTGAAGGTCGATATGGTAAAAGGGGCAACACAATGTGTATCACTGTTCCTGTTGAAGAGAGAGATAAGAGATTCATATTGGATTCTGGAAGTGGCCATGATCTCATTTCATCCACACGAATAAGTAGAATGGATCTCCCAACATACGATGACAAGGTCGTCAACTTCCATACAGCAAATGGGGTAACGTGTTCGACCAAACGTTCAAGCATCAAGTTCGAGGCATTTAGCGAACCAGCAGAAGCTCACATCTTGGAGGACACACCCTCCGTG